TGCGGGGTAATAGGAGCCTATATAAGAAAAATACCCCAAAATCGGGACTGTCCCTGTAAAATCAGGACATCTGGTCACCCTAGCTGGACCGCTGACTTGCTCTGGTTCTGAAGGAGGCAGGTGTTAGTAGGCCCCCCACACACACACAATTTGTGAAAACAGCAGCTTGAAGTTCGTGGGCTGTTGATTCTCACGGATACCTTTTCACAGTCGCTCAGCTTATATGTAAAATGATGCTTTTTCTTTACCTGCCTAGGGTGACCAGATGTCCCGAGTTTATAGGGGCACTCCCGCTATTTGGGACATTGTCTTATATAGGCGCCTCGTCCCCCCCACCCTAAATATGTCCCAATTTTTCACACTTGCTGTCTGGTCACCCTATACCTGCCAGCCCCTGCCAACTCAGTTTGGGATCTGAAAATCATGTTTTATGGGTGGTGCAGTAGCAGCGGTAAAAGATAATGCACCCCGAGCTTAGTTAAAAGCAGTTGATGTGTGAGTCAGAATGGAAACCAGCTATTTCTGCAAGGCTAACAGGAGTAAAAAGGAGACAAGATTTATTTTAGTCTATAGTGCATGCAGAAATTATTCTGAGGAACAAGGAGCAGATAAGATAAATAAGTGCCATTTTTCATAGTCACTTTTCCAAGTACAACTGCACAATAGAAGGTGCATTTGCCAATTTCCCTAAGACAAATTCCCAGCCAACAGCCTTTTTGCTTGTCGCCTCACCTCTTTACTGGCCAGCAGTTATAGGTCTGATCTGTCTTCAGCTCTGTCAATTTCCTGCATTCCTGCAACTCTTGCATCATTATTCACACCCTCACTGGCTCTAGGCTACTAGTGTCCAAAATATTGGTATCTATTGAAAGTTTCCTCAATCCCTTTCCGAGGATCTTTACTTGCCCTACTGTGATAGGACGTTAATGCAGTATTGAACACCATTGCTCCCATTTTGTTGAAGAGAGCAGGCTGGGCACACTCTATTCACATTCTCCACTTCCTACTATGTTGTGGTGCATCTTGGCAAGGACCAGTCAGGAGATCTTGGGAGGCTGATGACGATGGGATCAACCACAAGCATCTCGGTTGAGCCATTTCTCAGAGTTATCCTCTGGCTCCTGGGATTCTGAGCTGGAGTGGCAGAACTTTTGCTGATTCTGCCCCCTGCTCCCGTCCTTGGTTCCTAGCAAAGGGACCCTTTCTGACAACTCTCTTTACTCTTCTGGAAAGGGGGAGGCAGGCACATCACTGATTTCTCTAAATATCTTTAGTTGCTCTGGGATGGCTATACACCTCAGCTGCAAGGCTGTCTATCTTGATACAAGGTTTTTGTTACCAATACTAACCCACGTGACAGTAGTGAACAATAACTATAATAATTTAGATGGAAAGGTGTTAACGTGACCCTGTCACTATCCATATTTAAACAAGGTTCAGTATACAGAGACCTCACCCTGCTTAGTACCATGGCAAACATCATTACAATGTTTGACCTTTTATTAAAGATACAAAAAAGAAGGGAACAGTTAAAGCATTTGAAATGTTAATTATTTAAATAAGGCTTCCATTTTAACAATGTACCTTGTTCTCTTTCCCTTTACTGGAGAGAGATTTTAGAAGATACTCCCTCTTCCCCCATCTGGAAGACTTTGAGATGGTAATAAAGATGGTAATAACTGTCTTTTGGGGGGAAAGAGAACAAGTTATTTGATGTGGACTGGAGCTGTTGTTGTTGAAGTCTGATCCCCTTTCCTAAAAGACAAACGAAGGCCACACACAAAGGGGGGAGAAATGAACAGCAGGGATAGCTAATGCAGCTTCTGTGTCTGGTGTTGAACTCTCATTTGTAACCTCACTGCTGGAGAAACACAGGCACAGTTTATGCTCTAATCCAGTGGTTCTCAAACTTTTTTTTTCGCGGACACCTGAAAATTGCTGAGGGTCTTGGTGGACCACTTAATGATCTTTCCAAATGTTGTTTGTACCGTTAGCTAACTATTGTAAAGTGCTTTGGATAAAAGCTATATAAAAACAAACTTACTAAAAAGCATACAACTCATATTTTAATATCAGTAGTCTTACCTTTCTAATGCGATGGATGTGCCCTCTCTCCCCTGCCACGGCAGCCCTCAAG